TCGTAAGCTCGGGCCGGTTTGATCCGCAGCTCACACCTGCCCTCATCCGTGCGCTTCACTTCGATCCGCGAGCTCTCGATAAGAATGCCGTCGTTTCTAAACCAGGTATAGCTGGGAGTGGGCTCTCCCACAGCCAGACAACTGAACACCACGTCTTCGTTCTCTCTGACGGCCATATCTTTGAGTTTTTCGCGAAAAAACGGCACTTTAGTGACGGTTCCGGTGGCGCTCAGATCGCCGGCCACTACATTGGCTTTGGCCTCTCTCTTCAGGTGATGCAACTGTCCGTAAGCGTAACCACTTGTGCCCACCTCTCGCACTAAACGGCTTGGTTTGGATCGAGTCTCGAGACCCTTCTTCTCGTCGCTCACCTCTTCGTCCATAATATCTGTGAACTTTCGCCGCTCTCTCACCGAAACCGACGGTTTATAGCCGTAGTCTGAGTGCTGTTTCGTAAACAAAAAATACAATTTGATTTTCAATGATAAACACAAACAAAATAAATTGGTTTTCAATAATTGAATGCCTAATAAAAATGTGATGAAGCGGTAAACTGGACTCACATTTTTGTCTCCCCAATGGGATTCTCTGAGACTGGCGGCCAAACTGGGACTCCTGGAGGCGCCCACTCGGAGGTACTGTCGGATACGAGTGGCGAAGTCTGTGTCTCTGAGTTGCAGCAAATAAGTGTCGGGTCCGCTCTGGTATTGGCTCTCGGAGTGGACGTCGTAGTGATCTCTCGAGATCTTCTGTTTCATAGTCTCGTCGAACTGCGAGGCCTTGAACTTTGAGTGCCCGACCTCTCGCTCCGGACTCGGGGGCGGAGTGTACTGTTCGTCCNCCGACCTCTCGCTCCGGACTCGGGGGCGGAGTGTACTGTTCGTCCGGCGGGTATATCATACGACTCGGGTGTGTAAAGCATGAGTGCAACGGACGGCGACGGTAATGGGTTTTACACGAGGCGTTCACATACTATATAACGCATGGATTAGAAATAGTTATTACGATTGCAATAAAAGTTATGACAACAATGAAAAACGGATTATAAATGGTTTTATGATTGCAATAAAAGTTATAACAATGAAAAACATTATAAATGGTTATTAAGATTGCAATAAAAGTTATGACAACAATGAAAAACATTATAAATGGTTATTAAGATTGCAATAAAAGTTATAACAATAATGAAAAACGTACCCAATTTTTATATCGTTTGTAGTATTGTCTCAGGTTTTCAATGCAACCCAATTGAGTGCCGGTTCCGGGTTTGTCGGCGAGTCTGAGCCACGGGTGTTGAAGCGCTTGTTTGA